CTGGGCAGCGTGTGTGCAAGAGGGGCTTGTTAGCTTCGTCTGCTCTAGCAGAGAGGATGATGGGGGAACAGGGACTTTGCCATGGTAATTGGGGAAAACAGTTATTTTCTTGACTTGCTTTGGCTGAGCTTAGCCTCAGCTCACTTCTGGATTAAATTCAGACACTAGCATTGCACCAATGCAGTCCTTACTGCAGTGAGCCACAAGCAGCAGGGCTTGGGCTGCCCAGGCAGTATCACTTGCAAGATGCTCCTTCCAAGTGGGAGGCACAAAGCACGGTACAGCAGTGCTGTCTGCCTGGCAGGGAAGGCCTCCAAGGCAATTCTGTGCTGAACCAGGGAAGGAGCAGGAGGTAAGGACCCAACTCACTGCTTCATTTCTGCCTGTCGCCGCCTCTTTTCCTCCTCCACTTTCTTTTTCCTCTGTTCCTCAGCCTCCTGCTTCTTCCTGAGGCTTTCCAGCCTCTGCCGCTCCTTCTCCTGCGGGGAGATTAGTTCAGACTGTACCAGTTGCTGGGGCCTGTTTCTACCCTCAGGCTGCTTGTGCACAGGCAGCTAGAGGCTAGGCAGCCTGCTAAACAAAGAAGTCAGAGTCATGTTCACCCACACACCGGGATAGGAAGTGAATAGCAGGGAAGAAACAACGCGGTTGGGCAACACTGCTTATTCAACTAATAAGAACAGAAGAGTCACAGGTATAGGAGGGAAACACCTCAATCCTTCAGCTATAGAGAATGCATTTAGGCAAGGAACAGCACACTCCTGCTGCAGGTGACCACTTGTAGGAAATGCTCCTCACCTGGGACAGTTTTACCTACACCAGCAGCTGGCAGAATGGGCGAGAAGGAGCACAGTTTCTCAGCAGTTCCCAGCCCCAGCAGAACACAGTTGCAAAGAGATCCTGCCACCTCACCACTGGTGTGGCCAGTTTACTTATTTGGACAGAGCTGCATGGATGCCAGTGTGTGGGGAAAGAGCTGTCAGTGCCCGTGATGCAAGAAGCACAGCCGTTATAATCCTCCAGCCCCCACCGTTAAGGGTGTCATCACTTACAACAAAGTCTCCCTGTAGAGGAGAAGAGACATTAAAAAAAATGATTAAGGGTTTGGAAGTAACACTAGAACCCCCCTCAACAGCACATGCACCCTGATCTTCGCTCCTTACCAGTATGTGGTAGGGAACCCATTGCCTGACCCACACTGCTTGTCTTTCAGCCCTGCAGCAGCCAATTATGTGACACAAGGGCAGATTCCCACTGCAAAGAGAAAAGCTTCCCACTTTCCCACAGTTCAACAGTCCCGGAATATAAAATGTTTCTCTGACTACAAATAGAGCAGCTGAGATGTCTCTGCATCTGAGGAAGGTTTGAGGATTGGTTGGATAAAAACCCCCGGCCAATAACAGCGTGTGTGGACAGGCGATGCAAGGCAACAGCAACCAGTTTCCCTTTTCTGGGGAGGCCGAAGTAGGATCTTGGGGACAGTTTGCTGCGAGGATCTGCATTGATTCACGGTAGCAGACAGAACTAGGAATATGTTTATGCTTTTCTAAGCAAACAGTCCCTCCTGACACTCCCCTGAACTTGATCTCCTCCTCCAGCCCTGTGAGGAAAGGTGGGGCTCTGACACACCTTAAGATCGGGTCGGGTGGGAGTATTGCGTTTGATGAAGTTCTTTACGACAGCCCCACGTCCTGTGGGCCCCGGACTGGCGAGCAGCTGGTTTCGTTGCACAGCCTGCAGGAAGTTTTTCAATGGCCTAACAACCTAAGAGGAGAAGATGGAGGGAAATCAGTACCTGCTGGGGAAAGGGAAGAAAGAAGGGCCGTGGCACCCACTTACCCTGCTAGCTGGAGAGGAAGAAGGTGGAGTCTGGTTTGCTGAATCCTTGTGCTTGTCATCCAAAGGGGAAAGGGTATCACCCCCTGGCTGCTGCCCATTCCATATAACACCCATTGCTTGTTTATAGCTTCTCATCCTGCTGGCATTACAAAGAGGCACATTCGGTGACCGCAAGGCTCCCCAATCTCCCCAGAAGCATTTACTTGCTGTTACATGCTTCCCTCTGCTTGCTCGCTGCCACCAGAGCACACGGGACTCCTATGAACTCATTCGACCCTGCGGCAGGTGCACCATCCAGTCGTGAACGAGCGCAGGGAAGGCACACAACAGCTTGGTAGGGGAACACCCGAGTTCCACAGCAGTAATGTACAACATCACTCTCACCCTCTGCTCTGTGTCCCAGCGAGCAAGAAGTCTTTGTTCTACCTGGTATTAACGGCACAAGACAGACATAAGCCTTGCGTGTCTGTAACTAGCCAGCCCAGCTCACCTCCCTGGCAGGGTTTCACGTGCTTTATACATACTTTGGACACTCACAGATTTACCTGTGTCAGAAATGACTTCACTTGCATCCCCTAATTCCAGGGAAAAACAGGGGGAACAGCTTCACTGCACAATCAGGATGCAATCCAGCAGCAGCCCTGAGGAAGGCTGCAGATCCTGATCCATCACATGGTGCTAAGCGTCCAAGTGAGAGCAGAGGTTACTGTTATTCTCCTTCCCATCCACTACCCGCAGCAAATTCACCCCAGCAAAACCAGGACAGGAGACTGAGGGCAAAGCTAAAAGCAGCTGAAATCTCACGTGAAACACGAGTAATACAAGCACTGAGGAAACAAGTCAGGTATTCCAGACACTTGCACAAGATAAAAATAAGTAGGTCAGTCACATCACATTGCCTTCTGAAACTACTCCTGGACCAGCCCTTTATGAGCCACTTGGTCACATCTAAGCTCCAAGTTAACTGTGCTATCTTAGTCACCTTTGCTGGTTTGTGCATAACTCCTGTGTCTGCTTCCCAAGCCAGACCTGGGTCCCAGACCCAAACAAGGCTCAAGAAGTCACACAGAACCCCCAGGAGACAAGATTTGGACAGACAAGATTTCAAAACTACATCGGAGGGGGGAGGAAGTAGGGAAACAAACACCCAAAGCTTTTTACACAAATTATTTAAGAGGCCAGGCCCAAGCCCTTCCAGACCACTGGCTCATTCGTCCTCCTTGCAAATGTCTCATACCAGATGTGTGAGGGATTCTCCTGGGACTTGGCACAGTGGGGTTTCTCCTGGTTCTCGTTCTGGCATTCACTGTTTGGATTTACACAGCTTCCTGTGAAGAAACCTGCAGTTAGCACTATGTGTAAGGCATCCTGCAGGGCTCCGATTCTCGTTTCCAGCTCTCGTGTGCTCAGAGCCCTGTGGCACATAACCAAACAGAGAAACCAGAAGCCTGGATGACTACCTGGAATACCAGTGTTCTATATGCACCCTGTGAAGCATGCTGTAGTACACATGCTGTACAGACCCTCCTGAACTGGCACAACCTGTCTCACCAAAAGGCCTCCAGCTACTCTTCCCTCCACTCCAGCTACAGCTGCTTATCAGATCTTACAGTTCCCACAGGGGATAAACAAAAAGCCTGAATCTCTCCATCTCCTTGCTTTGAGGCACAGTAAATAAACAGGCCTGGAAATCCTCACATAACTAGACCAGAGAAAAGGGATGTCAAGGTGCTTTAACAGAACATTATGGTATGTGGAAGATTCCAGGTCTAAGAGCAATCTCCTTTCAAAGTGTGCCCACTTACTCATTATGCAGATTGAAGTTGGACAGGACAGCATTGGTCTCAAGGCTTGGACACACCTACAAGATGTCCTTGCTTATCTAATTGCACGTCTTACCTCCTCAGAGGATCAAAAGTTTACCTGAAAAATTACCTTGACTGGTCAGAGGTGGTTTTGTTTCAACACAAATCCCAGATTTTCCACAAACCCTTATGTTGACTCCCTGGTCTGTGTGTCTTTGGGGCTTCATGCAAGAAAAGCAAGACCAACTTGAAGTTACCTTCACTGTTCCCTGCCTGCTGCTTGGGCAGAGATAAGTGCTGTGCAGGAGGGCTGGCAGCTTGCATACTTTTGCTTGAAATGAGGACATCTTCAGGAGTCTGCAGGAAAAGGTAACAAACATTCTCTTAGCACAGCTGCTCCAATGACCAAGGCTACCAGGGACCTGCTGCCCCAAAAGAGCCAGTCATTTCTACCTGCAATCCAACTGCTAGGCTAGGGTCTGCTCCTCTCAGCCAGAACTGTGCTGCATGGGTGCTGACTGCCACCAGGAGCAGTATTCAGCTACTGAATACTACATTCACCACCATTTCAGTAACAGGGGGTCTGCTCGTGAAACACCAGCCTCTGCAGGAGGGACAGTCGCCCAGCACTTCTCAACCAGAGCAGGAGCTGTACTGAACCTGGACTCCGAAGTCAAAGTGCCTTAGGAATGACGGGCAGCTTCTACATGCCAATTTTCAAACTACAGATATTCCAGTGCTGAAAGACAAGTCCCTGTGAAGTGTTTTAGGTTACAAGATCATTAGGCACTTTAAGTACCATTATGGTATATTCTCAGGAGGACAAGCAGAAAAAGTCGCTGCAGCACAGCATCTTAGCGTGCTACGAGGCTGCCTTCCTCATAGCACGTGCTTTCCCCTACCTGCTAAGCTACCACCAGCTACCACCACCACGACCCAGAGCAGAGCCACCCGCCCATTCCCGCTGCCGCTGATGCTTCCTGACAGCACCAGGGAACTGTTGTGAAGCAGAGCCCACTCCTGTCTCCGCTGGGCTAGTTTTCACCTCAGCTGGTTCGCAGCACAATCACACAAGAAGTTTTTGCCAGCTCAGAGGAGGGGATGTCTTGCTAGCATGTTCTTGTCCTGCTAGCACTGCAGGCTTATGCTAGCTTGTTGTGTACAGAGCCTCAGCAGCCAAGGAAAGCACACTAACTTGGATTGCCCTACTCAATTTTGTAACTCCGACCAGCCATGCAACAGAGACAGGCTAAGAATACACACATTCAATTGCCATGCCCAGCTGACAGGCAAAAGCTTGCTAACTCCTGGGAACCTGGCCAAGCACCTCCAAAAACTCCATCTTGAAGAGGCCTTATCAAGGCATAAAACGTCTCTGCCACCAGGAGCCAGAGCGCCAGCCGGCTTAACCAGCTGCCTAAGCATCAGAAGGGCAGCACCGTCCAACTCAGCAGTGCCTTCGCTGAGCTTGAAGGGGCCTGACAGAATGATCCCTTGGCCACATTCTCTGCTTCCAGTGGCAGCACTCAGGAAAAGGTATCAACTCAGGCAAGATCATGTCCAGACAGATAGTTTGTAGATTGTTCCTTAGAACTTACCTTTCCACTTGGGGGATTCAGTTCCAGTCCAGGTCTGTAAAAGAAAAGCTATTTTAACTATTTCGACTCTCTGGAGGGTGAGTTACAGGTCATAGAAGTATGATGGAACCAGTGTATGGGACCCTAAGGAAAATGCAGATAAATCTAATACAGCCAGAGGCACAAGCCTGTTCCAGCCAGGCCACACAGAGGTGGAGCTGTAAATTCTTCTGATGGACCGTTGCATTGCATTACTGAACACACTGATAAGCTTCATCCCCTTCTGCAGGGGGACCCAGAGCAGGTAAAAAGGAAGCTCCATGAGCCTCCATGAGGCTGGGTCTTACCTGTAGACCTTTCAGGTCAGACCACAGCTGACTGACCTCCAGCACCACCAGGCGTTCGGAGGCTGGCTACAGCCAGGAATCCCAGGACATAATTCATATGACACCAGCCAACACCAGGCAGAGCAACTGCTGGCAGCCTCTCAGGCCTTAAGGGCGTAGGCTGGACCCCACACTAACACAGTGATTAACCTCACTGGGCCCTGAATAAACTTCTGAAAGGGAAGGGCTGTGCCTGAACAGCACAAACTTTGAAATACCAACCAGCCCCAGATGACAACATCACCTAACATTCCATTACAAAACCAGTCCTATATCTGCAATATAAAAGCAACCCATATAGATTCCTTGCAGGGTTTTCTGTGGTTTCTTCCTGCCCGCTTTACATGGTAGCCTCACCTCGTGCTGCTGGTCACATCATCTTCCACAAAAACCTCCAAGGAGCTTTGACCTGGAGAAGAAAAACATTAGTTGCTTGGGGATTTCATTCTGAGGCTTCCCAACAGCAGCAATGTGTGCGTGGTAGAGCTCAGGTCCCTGTGCAGGCTTTCCTCCCAGGGAACACGCTGATTGCTCATCTCAGCTTTCCACACCAGCACTACCACCTCCCTCAAGTGTCACTGACAAACTGGTGTAGGCTGGGAAGGCAGAGATCTGAAGCAGCAGCTCCTCTGCCTGCAGACTGCTCCAGCTGCACAAACATGCTCTTGCCTGTGTCAGAGATAGCATTTCCCAGTCAATTGACTTCAGCTCCTGCCTCCCTACATGGTTTGATGCAGACGTGGTGGATTTAGGCTGATTTCATTCCCCCCATAACACCACTTAGCTGAAAGTGTTATAACAAATGCCTAGATACAGTGTGACTCAAAGCTGACAAAACTAAATACCAAAGGCCTCAGTGCTTTATTAGAAGCCAATCTGACTTCAGAAGCAATGATTTTAGAAAGTCCAAACAGCAAAGCCTTCACAGGAGTAGTGGGAACAGAGGATGTGGAGTTTACTGCTACCAGGAATAGCCTGGATTTATGAATCTTGTTTCCTCCAGTGACTGTGCTATTGGCTTCTCAGTCCATCCAGTCTTCTATCTTCACCCAAAAAGCATTTAAGTTCCTCTGCCAATTTCAGCCAAATTTCAGGGGTGGAGACATTCAGTTCCTACAGATTTTTCTATACGGGAGTTGGCAGAAGACCCTGAAATTAAAGCCCCTCCCCAGGGAATGCAATAGTCTTTTCTGATCGGCCAAACCACGCACATGGCTAGAACCAGCCAGGTCACACCTTCCCTTTCACTCTTGTTTTTTTTGGTCCATCCACAACCTATGTAATCCAACCTCCAATGCCTGTGCCTATGCCCCAGCAGATGCTTCCTTCACCTGCTGTAGCAAAACACAGCCGGAGACTTGGTCTGACAGCAGACGAGGACCTGAAGATCACACCCAAAGAGATGGGAGCCACAAGGCCTATTGACAAGGAGACTAAGAGGAGCCAGAGCCAGAGTTAATACGGATGAGCAGCTCCACAGCTGCTTACTCCCCACACCAAAGCCGAGAAGCTGGTTTAGTCAAATGAATGCACTAGACAATTGAAAGAAACTTACAGCTCACTCTGCTGGAGGCAGAGGATGATTCTTGTGCTGCTGCCTTCTTTGAAATGGCTCTGCTGATAGATCTCCGGATCATGCTCTCTCTTTTGCTGGCCAGTGAATATTTTTCTGCCAAGGAGGTCCTACGGCTCTTGCGGGGGCCACCCACAAAGCTCTGGCGTCCAGAGCAACGGCGCGTTTTGGATCTCACTGTAGTCATTTTGCTGTCAGAGTCCTGTAAAGGCACCTTTTCGAGGCCTCGAGGAGACTGGTCCCCTTCAAGCATGGCAGGATCTCCATTTCTAGCAGCCTTGGGAGTGGAGGTACTGGCTCTTTTTTTGGGGGCCTCCTCCCTTGCTGTCCAGTCACTGGGGATCACAGTGACAGAAGACACATCATGCAGCTCAGTGGCTGCATCCCCCTTGGGTAACTGCTCCCCTGTAACAGCCCTGCAGGCTGCATCACCGCTATCGGCACCCTGAGGGCAGTCCTGACAATCTGTCTTTGCCACAGGAACTTCTGCTTCTGCCAGCCACCTCCCGGTCAGTGCTGGGAGCTCGGCTCTAGCACTGGCCTGAGACCTCGCTGCACAGCTGGGCACAGGGAGCTCTTCCCCCGGACAGCCAGGGTGCTGGGGGTGCTCTTTGCTGTGGCGCCTTTGGGAACTTGGCTTGGAAGACACTGGCTTGATGCTGCTTCTCCTTCTGGACAACCTTAAATAAAAACAATTTTAAATGAAGTGATGAAGTCTCCCGCTCCCAAATGATTTTGAGAAAAAAGGCAGACAAGTTTTGAAGTGAACCTGCAGGCTTCTTCCCTCCACCATTCCCCCCTCACAACCCATCTCTTCTCACTGGTGAAATGCAGCAGTTGTACCTTGAGAGCTCAGAGATGCACTCTGGCAGATTTAGCTGGAACAATTGCTGCTGACTGCTTTCTGCTGCCTGCAGGGTTTTTTTGCTGGACATTGCCACTGTATACCATAGGCGGGAATGCAGGGCACATACCCTCACTGCAACCATCCCAGCTATCAGCCTGGCATGCTGGGTTGACTCACAAATAAAGGTTCTATCGTGCGGACACAAACCACAGCAGCTGAGGTACAAGGACACCCAGTAAGCCACAGCCCCAGGCAGAGCTGACTCCAGACAACTAACTCCATGCTGTTTGGTTTGAGCAAAGGACAGAAAAACACAGCAATCGGAAACACAGCAATGCTGCCATACATGTGGTACCTGATAGCGTAATCCCGAGGAAGGCAACAAAAAAATACTTGTAAAGTTCAGAGTCATAAATTCTTTGAATGACTGTCATTTAAGAGAAAAAATATCAGTACAGCAACTGTCTCTAGCCCTATTGCTTCAGTTAAACCTGACCAACTACACAGAGGCTTGAGGAACTTTGGCAGTGAAATCCTCTTTGCTCCATCGGGTAACTTGCCATGAGAGGATAGAGCCACACACTTGATCAGCAAGTCAAGGAGATCAGGTGGACAAATCCAAAACAAAAGGACAGCTTTGCTCCAGAGAAAGGCAGCCACCCGTGCCAAAGTGACCTGCAGGGTGGAGATCGGAGTCAAAGAGAGAATGGAGAGCTGATGTGGAAGTCTGCAACAGCTAGCAAAGGCAGCCAAGAAAACCCACTGTGGTATAAGAACAAGGTTTTACAGCCCCTGGTGCATGACTGTCAGCAAGCAGTGACTTGTCCTACTGCCAGTATTCGAGTTGATACCTTCTGCCCTCCTTCCAGCCTCGTTCTCTTAATTTCTCATTCTGACCTCTAGCAAGAAGAGGGACTTTTTGCTAGAATTAGCAAAAAAGACTAATAATTGGGAAACGTGTAATTAACGATACACTTAGAAATGGGGTTTAAAATACATACTGAGAAAAACAGAGCAAGGAAAACAACAATGGCCTGACCCTGCAGGATGGAGCACAACGTGCTGAACTGCAGCATGAACTTCCTGTTGACAAATGACCGCCTGGCCAGGCATTTTGTCACATCAGCAGATCTTTCTCAAAACTAAGTTTGAATGAGGAAAAATACATGCAAGACTTGTCTTCTTCAGGGGAGCAACCCAGCTGCTACCTGAAAACTAACAGTGTGTCTTAAGAGCTCTCCCTGTTTAGATCTGCAACATTTCCTTCTCCTGCCCTCCTTCACCACACACACGCATGAACTGCCCACGCTTCTTTACTATTCTTGCTGTTCTCTCCATCCTCCATATCTAGTTTCTGACAGTCTTTTAGTTCTAACTCTTCCTGTCCAACTTCTGTGGGTTTTTCACCACGGTTATCAAAATTTAAGGGCCTTAACGCATAACGCACACTACTGTGTGCCCAGTGACAAAGTTTGGGTCACACTACACCTACTGTCAGCGTGCCTACCCCCAGCTCACAGCATATGCTTCTCTGAAGGGAAGGTTACCTTAACCGCCTTGCCACTGACCACGAGATGAGAGCAGATTCCCTGCCAGCTGCCACGAAGCAGTAACATCAAGGAAGTTAATTAGCATCACAGCCATCCCTGACTACACATGCAATTAAATTATGCCCTATGCTATCCTGCCTTGGCACCTGTTTGCAGGCAACTGTTGTCTACTTAGGTCTAGTTTTAAAAACCTCAAGTGTGGTTGTTTCTAAGCAAGTCACTGGGAATTCCCACTTTGGTTTCAGCACTAATCCCTTTGAACCTTCCTGCCTCCCAGTTCAAACAACAACCACGGACATGCCGCTTCTGCACGTCACTGGTAGCAAGTTCCATTCTCAGGTTCTCTCAGGCACCAACACAAAGGTTTAAGGAGTGAACACCAGCAGCCTCAGGCCAAAAATCATGCTGAAACAAAATCAAATCAAACAAAAAACAAAACCAAACAGACAAAAAGTTAAGATTTTTTTTTTTGTTACTCTGTTTCTAACCAGGGGAAAAAAAAAAGTGAAGGAAACCAGCCAATTCTGTCCCAAACTTCCACAAGAATAAAAAGGTTGATTGATGTTGACATGTCCTTTTTAAATGTATTTGCTTACTCAGGGAATAGAGCAGCTATTTTATGTTCTTGTGTACGTGGAAACAGTTACTATTTTGTTTCACTCTTAAAGGCCGTGCAGCAGAGCCAGAACAAACCAACTCACCTACCTCCTCCTATTTGGTTCCTTATTTTCATCTTTCATGCAAGAGGACTGCCTTTTCTTGGGACGTCTCCTCTGTGATGGTGTTTTGGGCATTAATGCAGGTTCAGCCCTTAAGTTGCTGTTAAGCAGACAAATGCACAACCCTAAGCCAATACTATCCACGAGCTATCCACAAAGTAAGGGTCATTCATTGAGAAGGACAAGTGCTGGGTGAGAACCAAGCGAGTGAAACATACCAACCGCCTGGCACCAAGGCCCAAACCAAGCTGCTAACAGTTGCTCAGCTGTGAAACCCAACGCCCACGAGGCCCTCGCACCAGGGCCAGCACACCAGCAGCTGGGAGCACACATGGTCTTACGCTCACAGGGACTGCAAGCATTTTGAGACCAGCGAGCTCCCTGGGGGATGGACAGTCCCCTTGAGGATGGTCCCTACCTATCCAGCATCCTCATGCCCTGCTCCTCCACCTCCCGCAGCCAGGCCAAGTGCTTGTACTCAGCATCTTGGAGGAACCGGGAAAGCCTCTGCCCGCACACCTCCAGCAGCCGCGTGGGACCGTCAGCCTCTGCCATGGCCCTGCCTGAAACACAGAGGGAGTACCAGTCTCGCTGGCACCCGGGGACACAGCACCGGTGGGAAGGGGAGGCACCAGGCCTGCTTCCTGCCTGACAGCAGGGTGTGAGGACAGGCTGGGACTCAGTGCTGCACCCTAGCCAGGCACAGAGATTAAGGCCCCAAATGGCACCCAGGCCTCTCTACCTACTGCCCTCTGAGGTGGAGCAGGCCCACGGAGCCAAGGCCCGCTTCACCACCGCCCCACGGGACCACGGCCTCCTTCACCCACCGCCCGGAGACAGCCCCCACCTCAGCTACCCACACCGCGCCCTCACAAACACAAGCTTCCCCCTCTCGCCCCAAGATCATCTCGGTCTCCACCAATCGCAGCGCGTGCCCCCCGAGGAAGGGTCTCTTATTGGCCTTTGCCCACGTCCATCACTCCCCCGCTGTTAAAAGCCCACAGCCTATTTGCCTGCCCTCTCAAGTCCCGCCTTCCAAGATGAGTCCTCCACGACCACAGAGAGCGGTGAGCAGAAGGGAGCAGATTTTGAGTGCTCCCGTGTCGCC